ACCTCATCCCTACCTGCCTCTGCATCACTGAGTGGCATTGTCTCAATTTAGACATCACACTAAACCATGGATTGCAATAATCATAACTTAGAACCCAGACTCAGCTTCCAAATGTACAACACAAACCACAGTTTAGAAATTCTTGCCTGCTTTTGTTTTCCAAACAATGTGTGCTCCTTCTCACAGAATATTCCGCAGAGTTCCAAACCATAGTAAGTTGGTTCAAATGGAGCCTTAAGCCAAGCTGTGATTTAGCCCAAAAGCACTGGCTCCTGGGGCAGAGATTGACATCTCTTTGCTTCTCTTCAGCCCTGTTGCTGCTGCCAGTGGAGCAAGACAAACCATAAACCCAAGTTCAGATGACAGGCTAAACCAAATCATGGCTTAGCACAGCAGCAGCGGGAGGATTGGGGGAGGAGCACGGTGACCATGATCTCCTCTTGAGGAACCTACGGTACTTGTTTGTGCATTCTCCTGAAGACATAGTTTGGTTTAGCATTAGGTGTGAACTGGCTCTATGTCTTTCCTTCTACACATTCAAGAGAGAGAAAACTTGGCCACAAGCATTTAAATAGTTTTCTTTGGCAGATTAATAAACTGAAGCATTAAATGATTGATAGATTTGGTGAGAAGGTTAATCTGTAGGGTTGATAATTGAAGAGCACCTTTGTTCTGCTTTTGAATCAGTTCTGACTCTGGTTTGCTACTGAAATAGAAAGTGAAAAAAGTCGAAGCCAAGATGGCATTTTGCTTCCAGCAATGAGTGCTGTCTCTTGATTTATTGCAAGTTTACCTCTTGCTTCTCTCAGTGGAATGTTGTGAAGGTTTGTGCAACCTGAGTATCTGGAAATGGCAGTGGCAGAGGGAAAAAACCAGCTTGTGTTTATTAATGTTCTTTTTAAGGAAGAAGAGTGAGCTGTAATATTATGAAGAAGAGTGGCTGTTATGTTTATGTAGCCTTCAGGAAACTCTAAATCTAAATACTATAAATCTTGTGGCACCGTTTGGCACTTACAGGTTGCCAAACTTCTTGTGAGCTGAGCTTGTTTACTAATGCATCACAATATGCAGCCGGTGAAGTAGTCTGTAGCTAACAAAAGTTTCTGCAGCAGTAAACCTGGTAGTCTTTCAGGCAGGAGTGGGGAGCCTTTGACACCCCCCCCCCGATAGTGTTGGACTCCAACTGCCACAATCCCTAGTCAGCATAACCAGTAACGGGGGATGTTGGGAATTCTAGTCAAGCAACATTCAGAGGGGCTCAGTTTCACCAGCCCTTGCTTTATGATATTGTTCACACTACAGTGGTACCTCGGGTTAAGAACGTAATTCATTCTGGAGGCCCATTCTTAACCTGAAACTGTTCTTAACCTGAGGTACCACTTTAGCTAATGGGGCCTCCCGCTGCCGCGGCACGATTTCCGTTCTCATCCTGAAGCAAAGTTCTTAACCCAAGGTACTATTTCTGGGTTAGCGGAGCCTGTAACCTGAAGCGTCTGTAACCTGTAACCTGAAGTGTCTGTAACCCGAGGTACCACTGTATAGCTAAACAATGACTTGTCTATAACCATCACTTTATGCACTTACCTTGTTTGAGTCATCTCTTCCAACAGCTCTAACTGAAGGGTTGGTCGCTTTACAAAAAAATCCCTAAGGGCAAATTGGGTATATTCATGTCCTCCACAAACTATGTCTGAACCCAAGCCCTTTATGTTTCACTGAGGACAAAAGGAGGCAACTGTCTCAGCTGAATGACTTTGTAGGCTTATTCCTTGGTTGATCTTTTTTTTGGTTCAATGGGCTAACATGGCTAGTCTTCTGGAGGATTTGTTTGTGTGCCCCACATCATTTTTACAGGATCAGTTTCTTTGTAAGGAGGAAGTTTTGGAGATTTGTGCCATGTTTAACTCATTTGATTTACAAATATACAAGCTGATGGGAAGGGAGGAGCAGGCATGTACCCGGGCCAGCAAAATTTTCCAAAAGCTCAGCCCTCGAGATCTCTCTTTCTGGCCTTTGGGATTCTTACCAGGTCATCGTCCCCAGCCACCCCTCCTTTCTCTGGGTCACACTCTCAGTCGCCCTGCTTTGCATCCTTCTTGTGTGCCTTTGCCAGGCAGGATGGGTCTTTGAACTCTGGAACTGCCTCTTGCTTCCCTTGAGAGAGATGGGTTTGTGAGTGTTTATAGGCTACTGTAGGAAGCCAAGCCTCCCATACAAAGCTAAAATTTGCATGTGTTACTCTGCTCACTTCTGTCTCTGGCCCTGCACACTATAAGCACGTGGCCCCCAGAAGATTTCCCAGAAGTGAATGGGGCCTTGGCTTGATAAAGGTTCCTGGCTTTTCCAGAAAGTGGAAAAAAGTTGCCTTTTCAAAAAGTGAAAAGCCGAAAAGGCCAGCTAGACTCAAGCAGCCACATCAAATTCCAGTTGCTACAGAGTTTCCTTTTATTTTGTTTACAGTAATGCAAGGAAATTCTGTGCCCTTTAGAAATAAAAGTTCTTGGCTTTGTTTGTTTGTGGCATGCAGGTTAACTTCTTGGCTGGTTTTGTGTTCGTTTTAGACTCTGAAAGCACAACTGTTGTTCTCAGCTGGGCACTTTCGCAGGGTGCTCTTTCAAATTGGAATGGTATGCGCATTCCTGGTGTTCTCTGGAATGTCAAAACGACATGCAGTTAGGACCTCCAGACTGGCTTAGTTCCCTGTGGATAAATTAATTTGACTTGGCAGCAGCCCATCTCTCCCTTGTTATCGCTCCACTGAAAAGCGCTCTCTTCTTCTGAGTTTTATCAACAGCAGTTCAGGCAATTTGAATGGACAGATCCTGTGGGCTGGCACCAAGGGTACCCTGTACAACTTAGTAGTATGCCAGAAACAATGAGTGTCATTCCTGGTTGTTGTTGTTTTTTAAAAATACACCTTTTGGTACCGCTCATATTGAAAACTAACCCTCTCCAAGGAAATCTTGGGAATTGTAGTTCTGTGAGGGTGCTGAGGGGGCTTACCGTCAGTTAGGTAATGAACCCATATATTTGTTTCCAAAGTGTGGGTTTTCTTTTGCTGCAGGATGTTGTGAGATGGTTGGGGTCAGGAAGACATTCTCCTTTGAGTACCATAGGATCTGTACTAGCTGTCTATAGGGTACAAAGTCAAATTCTTCCTCTTAATACACAGTCTGGGACCAGCTTACCTTGTACCATGTATCCCTAGCCAATCTTTGTCTTCAGCCAGAGAGGCACTATTAATAATAATAATAATAATTTTTATTTATACCCCGCCCTCCCCAGCCAAGGCTGGGCTCAGGGCTGCAAACAAGCAATAATAAAAACAAGTTGAATGAATACAACTTAAAAACAAAATTAAAATACAACATTAAAATATTGAAACATTAAAATGTAGCCTCATCGCAGGAGGAGAAAGGAAAAGAAAAAAGAGAGGGAGGGAATCAAATTGGCTCCAAGCTCTGTCTTACAGGCCCTGAGGAAAGAAATCAGATCCTGCAGGACCCTGGTCTCATGAGGCAGAGAGTTCCACCAGGCTGGAGCCAGAGTTGAAAAGGGTGCCTTGCTCCTGCAAGAAACAGGATGTTTAGTGCATCTGTGCCTTGGTTGGGGAATTTGTTGCCTAATTAATACAATATCAAGCCAGCACTTTGTTTCAAATGCCTGCTTCCGATGTGTCATGCTCAGTCCATCAGTTATTTGTGAATTGTTGCCCAGAGGTTAAATTACTTTGTGTTGTTTTTATGGATGTGTGATGATTAGCGCCAAGATACTTTGTTTGTTTATGGTATTTAGGTATATAAAGCAAGCAGAACAAAGGATAACTTGTAGGTGGTACAGATGGAGCTAGCCCTAGGCAGAGTAGGCCCAGCAGAGACCTGGCTGCACTTGATCCTGAACCCTGCCCCGCTGATCTGAAATGAGGGCAAAGCTGGGGCGAATTTATTTGTTCTGGCTTCTCAGTCTGCAGCTCTCCTAAGCGTTCCTCAGGAAACAGGACTGCTGATAGGCCTACCCAAAATAGCTTAATTGTGCTTCTTGGCTTTTCAGACCCTATTGTTACTGCACACTTCTGTGACTCTTACCTGAGCTATGGGCACATCCTTTTAGGGCAGATGGGGTGCCAGCCTGCCGCCTTATATCCAGTCCAAGAGACGGTACTGGTAGCCAGCTTATTATTCCCCCTTATCCTCAGTGTAACCCTCAGTAGGTAGGAGAATGGAGACTCCCCCTACTGCCGGGCTCCTTGCCTTTTGCCCTACCTGGCGCTGTGGCATGTGGGTGGCGCTGTGGGTTAAACCACAGAGCCTAGGACTTGCCGAACAGAATGTTGGCAGTTCGAATCCCCGTGATGGGGTGAGCTCCCGTTGCTCGGTCCCTGCTCCTGCCAACCTAGCAGTTCGAAAGCATGTCAAAGTGCAAGTAGATAAATAGGTACCGTTCCGGCGGGAAGGTAAATGGCATTTCCGTGCGCTACTCTGGTTCGCCAGAAGCGGCTTAGTCATGCTGGCCACGTGACCCGGAAGCTGTATGCCGGCTCTCTCGGCCAATAAAGCGAGATGAGTGCCGCAACCCCAGAGTCGGCCATGACTGGACCTAATGGTCAGGGGTCCCTTTACCTTTACCCACCACTATTCCCAAGTTCACTGTGTGACATAAATTTCTTTTTCCATTCTGTCTTGCTGTTGGTCTGACAGTGTTCAAGAATCATTCTGTCTTGTGCCTGCTCTATAGCTGATTGGCACTCTAGAAGCGATCTTGCGGAGACTTAAAGCCCTCCCTTCCCCAACTCCCACTGGAAGGACATTTTGCCAAATAAACATTTTAAAAAAGCAGATGGAAGTTGAACTGGGCTGTTATGTGGGTTTTCCCCGTGCTCTAGAGAGTGATCTCATTTTAGCATGTTTAGCAAAGCTTAAAAAAAAACACCTTTGAAATTGTCAAGCATTCCAAATATTTTATTTGTAATTGCCATCTATTTGTTGTTACTAATGAGCTTATGCTACAGAAAGCACTGGAAAACAATTCAGAAAATTTTCGGTTCTGTACTGCTGGCTTGCTGCTTTATTAATTAGGGAAGAGTGTGAGCAAGAGTATTGACTACACAGTGTTTCTGTAAAACACAGAGCAGTTCCTGGCTTGAGGCAAGCTTATTCCAGAGAGCAGAATCATTTCTGGATTGTTTAATTAATTTTGAAAGTATCCACGGTGTGACTGGCCATCCACACAGACCCTTGTCAAAAGGTGTGGTTTTCGTTTCTGTTTTCTCTTTAAAAGTCTGTTTCAATTTTCTCCTCTATGTCTGTTCTTTGACAGTGCAAGTTACATCCCCTTGCTTGCATGACCCTGTACATTCGTATTTCCTTTCTGCAAAAAATAATAATCTATGAGGATTAGTTAAAGCAACCTCGCATTATAGCACTACCTTGATAGCCATAGGTGACAAGGAATTGTGTGCAGGCATGTTAGGAGGTTGGTGAAGGTTGGCTTAGACAATATTGTCTGTTGGGCTTGCTCTACACATGCAGCAGAATGAGGTGGTAGAATGGCTGTAGCCCTATCAACAAATACCTCCTAGCAGAGAGAAAACTAGGACACCAGAGAGGTCATTCTAGCCAAGCCCTTTGCCTGTTGTGCTGGTTTTCTGTTTGCAAAGAAGGAGCTGTAATGCCAAGGCAACATTCAGACTTGCAGTCTCAATTCGTGTAGTCCATTTCCCCATCCTGTTCTGCTGCATGTGTAGACCATTGCCTCTGCCTTCATCCTTCATGTCACTGCAGTGTACGTAGCTGAATGAGCATCCTACCAGAAGCTTCAGACGTGAGAATCAGCTTGTATTTCTCCCTCTTGCTTCCCCTTTCAGCCTCTATACTCCAGCATGCCAAGGAGCTTAGCTACCATATTTGGAGCTTGTCTGCCTATCTTCTGACCTCACATCTGCTCAGTAGAGGATTTGGGTGTTTTTACTTGTCCAAATATGGGAAAGCTGCTTGAAGAGTCCAGCATCTGGCCTGAATCGGAAGTAACACAGTGTTTGTAGTGCTGCTTTTCTTAACAGTAGTCTCATTAGCTTAAAGCCAGCCTCTTTTTAAGCTTATTTTCTAGTGACAGGAGTTATCTGGAGATGGACAGATGCGCAGTCTGAATCCTACAGTTTCATTATACTGTACCAACATAGGAATCTGACTTTATACTGAGTAAGACCACTGGTCCATCTAGCCCAGCATTGTTTACACTGACGGGCAGCCGCTCTCCTGTCCCTACCTGGAGATTCCAGGGACTGAATCTGGGATCTTTGGCATGCAGAGTAGATGTTCAACTACTGAGCTTTTGGCCCTTTCTGTAAAGGAGTGTGTCCTCCATTGTCTCTCAAGCCAGATGGATGCCAACAACCCAGGATATTATCCAGTCACGAGTAAATAAATAATGTAGGTTACATTTGGGTGAGAAATGGTAGTAACCATGGTTAGATGCTCCTGTAGGCCAGGAGTAGTTCACTTTGTTTATTTGTAGAAACCTGCCTGTGCTGTATGATTGGCCTTGGAGAACCTTCTTTTAGTCCCACCCATAACAGCAATTTGGTTGCTGGTCACCGGCTTAGCTTGGTATGCCAAATGTGCCCTTTCCTGGACAGGGATAGTTTGGCCACTGGGATTCATGCACTGATAACTTCACAATTGGACTGCTGTAATGCCTTCTTTGGGGGGCTTCCCTTGAGTCTGGTCCATAAGGTGTAGCTGGTGAGAACCTTGTGGCCATGATGTTGATTGTAGCACCTAGTCGTGTACATTATTGCACCTGTGCTGAGGGAACTTCACTGCCTGACAATCAGTTACAGGGACATGTTCAATATATTGTTACTAATATATAAAGCCCTGAACGACCTCAGACCAGGTTACCTGAAAGACTGCCTTTCCTTCTGTATAGACTTGCAAAATCACTTAGATTGCCTGGGGAGATTTTACTTATGGTAAACACTACAGAGTATTACAGGGCGGTAAACCAAAAATGGGCATTTCCTACCATTGCCCCTGCATTGTGAGGCACTTCCTTCCGTTGCACATGAAACATCACCCACCAGTTGCTTCAGAATGTCTTGTAAAGACATACCTCCCCCCCCCCCAGGGCTTATTCTGATCCATGAGATTTGATCCTGTTATTACTAAATTTCTATTCCCACCTGATTCCTATATATATATATATATTGTTCCAGATTAAAAAGCAACAGCAGGATGTGTGTGGCTTTTTGGAAGTCAACAAGATAGAGTATGAGGAGAAGGACATCGCGGCCAATGAAGAGAACCGCAAATGGATGCGGGAGAACATCCCTGAAAACTGCCGGCCGACCAGTGGGAATCCTTTGCCTCCACGAATCTTCAATGATGGCCGGTACCTTGGGGTGAGAACCAGGCCTCTCTTACCTGCCTTTTGGAAGGATACAGTGGGAAATTCTGTGCAAGCCTTGAAATTAGGGCTGAGAAGAGATCCTCCATCCTAGTCCAAAAGTGAACATCCAATTTTCAGGAGCCAAATTTCGGTTTGGGGTGGGGGGGATATTGTGACAGGGGGCAGCAGTTTCTTTTTCTTGTCCTCCTTTTTTGTACTTTGTATTAAAAGTTTGGCGAAGGGCTGTAGCTCTGTCGTAGAGCATCTGCTTTGCACACAGAAAGCCCCAAGTTCACTCCCTGGCGTCTCTAGTAGTCAGTGTAAACAATGCTGAGCTACATAGACCAATGATCTGACTCAGCATAAAACAGCTTCATATATAAGGTAAAGGTAAAGGGCCCCCTGACCATTAGGTCCAGTCGTGACCTAATGGGGTTCTCTGGGGTTGTGGCGCTCATCTTGCTTTACTGGCCGAGGGAGCTGGCGTACAGCTTCCGGGTCATGTGGCCAGCATGGCGAACCAGAGCAGTGCACGGAAACGCCGTTTACCTTCCCGCCGGAGCGGTACCTATTTATCTACTTGCACTTTGACGTGCTTTCGAACTGCTAGGTTGGCAGGAGCAGGGACTGAGCAACAGGAGCTCACCCCGTCACGGGGATTTGAACCGCCAACCTTCTGATGAGCAAGTCCTAGGCTCTGTGGTTTAACCCACAGCGCCACCCACGTACCATAGCTTCATATATAAATGGTTACAAATATAACACTTACAAACAGGTCTAAAAGCCTGCCAATCTCCCTAGACCGGCAAAGGTTTTTTGATTAAATTTAAAATCATGTCTTCTTCTTTGGCGATCACTTGTAGCCAAGTAAGATTCTTCCATGTCTTCCATGAACACGGTCTTAACAGTGAGTCCCTAAGTGACTGTGGAGGCCAATTCTGGATCCACACGTCCTTCCACAGTGGGGCCATAGGTTTGCGGGCAGGAGTTGATCACGGTGAGGATTTGCCAAGCGTGCCTTCCTCTTAGCACGTTTCTCCCTTTCGTCCTGAGTTTGAGCGTCTTCAAACACCTTTGTTAAAGGCTGTTCTCCATTTGGAGCTCTGGCAGTCCAGTGTTTTCTCAATTGTTGGTGTTTATAGCACATTTTTTAGTGGGACACGGGTGGCGCTGTGGGTTAAACCACAGAGCCTATGACTTGCCGATCAGAAGGTCAGCAGTTCGAATCCCCGCTACAGGGTGAGCTCCCATTGCTTGGTCCCTGCTTCTGTCAACCTAGCAGTTCGAAAGCACATCAAAGTGCAACTAGATAAATAGGTACCGCACTGGCGGGAAGGTAAACGGCGTTTCTGTGCGCTGCTCTGGTTCGCCAGAAGTGGCTTAGTCATGCTGGCTACACGACCCGGAAGCTGTATGCTGGCTTCCTCAGCCAATAAAGCGAGATGAGCGTGCAACCCCAGAGTCGGCCATGACTGGACCTAATGGTCAGGGCTCCCTTTACCTTTTTTTTTTTTAATAGCACATTTTTAAAGATTTGCCTTGAGAAAGTATTTAAACCTCTTGTGTTATCCACCGGTATTTTGCTTTCCATTCTTAAGTTGGGATAGAGTAGTTGCTTTGGAAGATGATAATCAGGCATCTGAACAACATGACCAGTCCAACGAAGTTGATATTGAAGAATCATTGATTTGACACTGGTGATCTTTGCTTCATCCAGTGCACTGGCATTAGTTTGCCTGTCTTCCCAAATGATATGTAAAAATTTTCAGAGACACTATTGATGGAATCTTTTGAGGAGTTGGAGGCTTTTGAGGAGTTAAAACCATGTAATAAGTTACCCAGTGTGTAAAAACCATGCAGTATGCTCATATTCTAACCCCTTTCTCCTGTTTTATTGTGGCTGTTCTGGAGCTTTCTGTGTTATTCCCTTGATACTCATAAGACGAGACTCTGCTTTAGGTGCCTGGCCTTTATGACTTGAAGACATGCAAAATGTTTTGCCCTTAATGGCAGCTCCTTGGCTAACTTCACTTTGGTTCTCCCATGTGTGCTGCCCGAGATCTGTGACCTTTAGTGGGAGAGGCTTTGCATTAAAGAGCTAGGCTGATTACATCACAGGGGGAATTGAAAAACCTCCTGCTGGCTCCGTTAAACACTAGTATTTTCTCAACTGCAGTTGCAAAATTACTGGTTTTCTCTGTCACACTTGGCAGTATAGAGTCAACCTGACTGAATCCAGCAATATGTCACTGATGATGGTTAATTAATAATAATAATTGAAAGGAAATGGTGTATCTGGGTGGTCTATTTTTCATTATCCTTTCCCTTCCAGGGGTCGGAGCACCAGCTGTCACTTAAAAACAGCAACTCTGCCTTACCAAAATACATTATACTGTATTTGCTTAAGCAGTGTACACGCTTGAACTTTCCCTGGTGCAAATTGGATCCAGTCCCACTAAAATGTGGAAATGTGTAGCTTCCCCTTTTGCCTTTGGCTTCCTGTTTGAGTTCACTTAGATTTCCATTATGCAAGACACAGAAAGCTTTGGGATTTACTGGTGTCATCCTGTGCAATGCCTGCTCAGAAATAATTTCCATTCACTCCAGGCAAATCTGTACAGGATTGCAGCATCAATCTCCTCCCATGTTCTTATTCAAATTTTTCATTTTTAAATTGGATGCTGATTATTATCATTTTTAAGAAAAAGAGTACTACTTCAAAAGATAAGATAGTGATTTGACGGTGGTTTTTTTTGGGGGGGGGTTAAAAAAGATTTATTTTAAAAAAATTCAAAATCCTCTAACTGGTTTGCAGTTTTAAAAACAAATATTGGGTAGATTTTAGATTTCAGAAGATGTTGAAAACAGTACAGTGAAGGTGGCTAGCCAGAGAATAGGGGAGCATGCTACACTAAAAGACTGATTCATTACAAGCGCAGAAAAGTTACGGAAAGATGCATGGTCTCTCATTTCTGTAGTACAACTTGATAGCAAGAAATGAGATGCTCACTGTTGGCATCTTCCAGGGTGTCAGTTGGGCAGTGGGGTGGAACATCTGTGTCTTCTGCAAGTATCAGATGTTGTGCCTCTTGGCCTAGCGGGCAATTATCCAGTCCTTTTAGAACCTGGAGGAGGAAGAAACAGAGTAGGAGTTTAAAGATGCATGTATTGCTGTTGCCATGGATACTGAGACCTACTGTCTTGGCACCATGTTCAAGCTATACATTGTTAATGTTAGAAATTTTGGAGCTTAATGCTGTATTTGGGAGCTAGACGATTGCCAGACATTCTGATTCCCAGCCTGCACTAGATATGACAACTTTTCAAGGAAGCTCTTCTCATGAAGGGTGGGTAAGAAATAGAATATAATTACTATCACACACACCCACACTTTGAAAACTGCCCTGCCTTTATATACACTCAAGGTAGTTTATAAAAATGCACCTTAGCAATTAAGGGGGGGGGGATTCTAAAAAACAGTAAGATATAATCTTCACTTTATTTGTATGATGTCTTTCCACAAAAAAAAATTATACTTACAATAGCAGTGTGTAGCTTTTATCAATGAAAACAGCAATACATCATAAAATCAACAATTGCGAGAACAATTTCATAATAACACCAATAATAAAAGAGTAGTGTAAATGTTACAAAAAAAAAAACCTGTTCAATCACATCCCAAAAAACCACACCCCAAGTTTTTTAAAAAATCTTGGCTAGGTTATATTTGCATAGGCAGTATACAAATATAACTTTCTCCTGAGGCTAATTGAAACTAGCAATCCTGTGATGTCGAAATACATCAATAAATCCAACTCATTGTCACTCCAAACAGGGGTGCCAACTTGAATAAAATATGGGGGGGGGTCCCTTGGTAAGCTCTGCCCCGTATAATCAATCACATGATGCAGTGCATGGGTGCCATTTAAAGGGCAATGCCCATCAACTTGGGGGGTGGCAGCCCATTCAAATATTTTATTTGGCGTGGGGGTTGAAGATCCCTTGGCCCCTGGGAGTTGGCTCCTATGATTCCAAAGCCTTTCCAGACATGTGGGCTTTGTACCAATTTCTGAATGCCAGAAGTATATAACTAAGTCAACCACTATGGGGCCATCACCCCAAAGGCCCTCATTTGAGCAATAGGTGGCATTGCTTCCTGTATTGAGGGAACATGGAATTAAATCTATGAAAATGATATTAATAGGCAGGCAGGTTCCAACAAACTTTCTGGAGGCATCTGGCCGTGAGAACAGAAAACTGAACTAGTTAGGCCTTTGATCTGTTCTTACAAGATCACAGGATGTGGTCCAAAAAGCTAGTTGATATAACTTGCTGAAGCTGTGGGTTGGGATCTAGTCATTGTCCAAATTGGGAGACTGACTTGGGAGTCCATATATGTTGCCTTGAGTTCCAAGGAAGAAATTTAGAGGGGAAATATTAAAAGCACCAAAATGTTCTAAGCGCTGCACATATATTAAAAGATAAGACAACCTCTTGAAGGCATGATAAAAAAGGAAGAAAGAAAAAGGAATGAGGTGGGAAAAGGAAAGCTAGCAGTTTCTCCTTTATTGGCCAATAAGAGCCAGGTTGGTCTCTTGTTTAACATGATGCTTTTTCCAGGAGGCATGGAGTGCAGCTCCCAGCAGCCTTTGGGGCCCTGGCTGATGGCACAGGCCAGAGTATGCTCATTTTTGTTTTGTGGTCCTAGGGCTACTGGCAGGAGTAGAGTTTTCTTTCTTGAAGGAAGTGGGGAAGCAACTCAATCAATCCCACCTACAAATTCTGCTAATGAAGAACAAGATACCCGTGTCCTTCATAACCTAATCTTAGAGAACACTTCTCCCTGCATGAGCCCCCACCTACCATATCTCAAAGACTAGCCCAGGGTTCACCAGCCTTTTTAGATTCTGGGGTGAGCACCTTCTGATTACTTCCCAGATCAGCACCTCCCTGAGAGAGTTTGAGGGGGGGGGGAGAGAGAATAAGCACTAACGCAAACATTTTGGTTTTCCAAAGTGTAAACATTGGAACCAGTAGAATTAATCTGAGTCTTGAAAAGGATGTAGAGTTGAAAAAGGAAGTGGGAAGGATTGTCGCTTTTCCAACTTCTTAAACTTTTCAATAACCATCTTCACAACCAAGGGGGCATTGTGTGAGAATGGTTTTTGCAAGTGCCAGGGTAAGACTTCAATGGGCTCTATTGTGCCCAAGGGTGCCATGTTGGTGACCCTTGGATGAGCCATTCTAACTGGATTGTTATTGCTGGAATGTTGATTCTCTTTCTGCTTTTTTTTAATCTGAAAGAACTATGACGATTTCTTCGAAGCTAGAGAGAATAATGCGGTATACGCCTTTTTAGGCTTGACTGCCCCACCTGGTTCCAAGGTACGTATAATTTCATCTTGATGCCTGCTTTTCCCCCCCAGACAGGTATTTGCGTAAATATTTTCACTTCTTTAGTAAAACATCATAGTAGTTCTAAGGGAAGATTTCTACTTGTTTTCAGAAAGTCAAGCTATGTGCTTTTGCAGAAAGCATCTATGGAGGATCACTCACCATCCAGATAATGACTGCAGCATTGGGGGCACCTAACCCTCTGCACCATTGTCCCACTGAAAATCATCCCACCTCGAACACACACACACACACACACACACACACACACACAGAGAGAGAGAGAGAGAGAGAGAGAGGTGCTGCTAATTGCCCCAATGGTGCTGTGTATTACTGGTATACCCTTGATGGGGCAGTATTGCAGGGAAGAAAGGGTTAAACCTCTCTCTCTCTCTCTCTCTCTCTCTCTCTCTCTCTCTCTCTCTCTCTCTCTCCCCCTCTCCCTCTCCCTCTCCCCCCCACACACCTTAGCCCTGATCCAGGTTGGCTGCTTTTTCTGGCAGAAAGTAGACTGCTTAAATCCTGTGCTTACCATAATGTGTAGGAAAGAGAGGAGGTGGGTAGGGAAACAATCCACAAGAGGAGACAGGAGAGGGAGTCCTTAAAAATCAGAACTTGCTAAAGCGTTTGTTGTAAAGGTGAATGTTAGCCGTGAAATATCTGAACATTCTTGGAACGTGCTGTCTCTGTAATAGACTTTTGCCTTAGGTAGTTTACAGACTTGTTTTGCGTAGCTGTCTAGGTTAGTTAAGCACTGGATTCCTGTGAGAGGTCTTGAAATGGGAAAATTCTTTTCTGATTTCAATCAGATGAGATAAGACTAACTTGCCTGCTAGCATTCTTCTATGTAAACACGTTTGAAGAGTAATTGATTCGCTATCAAGTGTTCACAGTGCTACATTTTCTCTCCAGCCCACCTTTTGATCTGATAAGTTGGTTCTTAAGGTTATTGTTCTTAAGGTTATTAGCTGTCATGCTTATTGACTCCTTGAATTTAAAAGGGGGAGGATTTGAAAATATTTAGCATTTGTATTGTGAACCATTGCTTTTTGTGTATGTGTGTGTTTTGGTTATATCTCTCGCACACAGAGACACACACACCAGTTTCCCTGAAAAGAAACTCTGGGGGATATACCTTGACTTTTCAAAACCTAGCTACTGAATTGCTGATTGCAGGATTTGAGTATACACAAAAAAATGTACATGTGATGTCCTTGCAAACACACCTGAGAGCCAGGATTGGCCCTGCCAAGTACATACTGTATGTGCTGAAAACCTGGGTGGTTGTTTTTTAAACACACACACACACACACACTTATAAATTTGTTTAAAACATACCCAAAGCAACAACTTAGTGCAGAATAAAAAATCAAGGTTTCTAAAATGGAAACATCTAGAAATGTGCTGGTTTAAAAACTCATCACCAACAACAGCAAAAAATGGAGTTCACAATATAGGAAATACATAGAAATGTAGCTGTTGAGTATCTCTAGGGAGGACATTCTAGGTTTGCTGTTGCACAAATTAGAATGCAACTTAAAACTTTTGACAGATGTAGGATAAAGAGACATTGGAACAGATTCTTCCAGGGGTGCTGTTGGGACTACTAGGGCGGTAGGAAGGTGGGTAGAGCTAGAACCAGTGATAGCCAGAGCCTACTAATTTTAGCTTTGTACCCATCCTCCTCCTTCCTGCTGAGCTCTGCAAGTGGAAGACCAAGACTAAGGAGGAGGAGGATGGCAGGCAGGACCACCCCTGGCTTGGCCTGCAAGTAAGAAGGACTGCAGTTGGTGGGGCAGTATCCTGTCTATCCTAATGGATCAGCCTCTATTCAGATATGCTCTGAGCCCACCTTGAAACATGAACTTTCAGGCATTTAAGTGACTTGGGCGGTGATCCTAACCCCACATCTCTGGGCGTATGCCCAATTGAATTCAGTGGGACTTGCTTCTAAGCATCTTGCCCTTTACCACTGGGTCCATGGCCTCCTACTGCCAGCCACTCCCTGCCCGCTGTTGTTGCAGAAGGCAGAAGCAGCAATGAGCAACAGAACCAGTGTGAAAGGGGCAAGACTATGCAGTCCCAGCCGGTGTTTGAGCTAGTCTGCCTTTTATGTCCTATGCTAGCACACAGTGTCTCCTTGGGCCTGTGAGTGATAAGCTGAGATCAGTGGGAATTCTGCCATTTACACAATGTGGCTTTTGTTATTTGCCCAAGTAGCACCACAATTTTTCCTTTCTTGTCTGTCATCAAAACAAACACACGTGTCCAAGTTGCCATTGTTTTGTTTTAATAGTAATAACACCCTTGCATTTTGTTTATTTATGACGTTGTTGTTGTTATTGTTGTTGTTCTAGGAGGCAGAAGCCCTGGCGAAGCAAGAAGCGTGAATATTTTCCCCTGTGCCTAAAGCCTTAAAATGTTCTGCGAAGGGAAATTTCAACAGCTTTTTGATACAATAGCAAAAATATCTATGCTTCAAGAATTCCGCCCCACCCCCCACCCCCTATGCTGATTGCTGCACACGGCATCCCCACTATACATGAATATAAAATGGAAAATGCCAAGTGAAAACTCAAACTTGCCATGAAGACAAAGGGTGTCATTAAAGGAAGTGTTTAGAAATAATGAATTTCCCCCCACTTGTTCACCCAAGTGGTGCAATCTGCTTTTTGGCAATTGTGTAATTTTTTATTTTATTTTTTTGTAAACTTAAAAAAACACCCCACCTTATTTTACTATTAGTAATGCAAATCTGTAGTTATACTTGTAGATCCAACAGCTGAAACAGCAGCAAATAATTCTGTTAATCAACGCCAGTGCCTCAAAAACATTACTGAAAAATAATGTTGGTGTTTCTTTAAATGTGATTTTTTGAAATACAAAAAGTTAATGTGTAGTGTAGTAATAGTTGTAGTTGCTTGCTGAGGTTAGGATATTTCTTCATTTGTAGGATGCATTTTGAAATTGTCTACTGTAATTTTTCAGCACACAGCTTAGACCTTTATTAAAAATGCCTTATAATTCTCATTGGAGTGACCAACGTGAGAAATTCTCACAGACTCAAGGTTTGATTACGTTATTATATATCTGTTTTTCAAGGACCTGAAAATGCCTACTTGTGTAAGATTTTAGTGCAGTCATGGTGAAATGTACATAACAAACCATATTACAAATAAGCCAAAAAAACACAAGAAATAAACCTGCTCTGGTCCTCATCTTCTGTAAAATTTGAAGCCTTTCATGCGACGTTTTGCAAAAAAAAAATCCATTCCACTTTGCTTGTGTATGTTTTAGAACTTGAAAAGCATAATCAAGTTATTGCTATTTGGAATAATAGTCATTCTGAGTAAATCTCCGCTGCTTTGTAGGAAGAGAGATACTGAGAGAAAATGCCACCTCTACAGATTTGTCAGCGTGGATTTGCAATGCCATGAAGCTGCTTTCAGCAATCTTTGCTCATCGTGTTGATTTTCATTTAGTGCAATATTGAGCTGTTATCATGCAACAGGCAATAACCTCACTCAGAAAGCATTCTGGGGGACTGATTCATCGAGGCCTCTAAGTTGGAAAGTAATCTTGAAGACTGTGTGCCAAAGCTCTGATCCAGTGATACCTTGCCAAACACCTTTTGTCTACTGGCCACAATTTATCTCTTGTCCCCTTGCATATTGAACAAAGATGCTTTCTAATCTGTTGATTTTGACCTTAATAGTCTACTTGATCCTTGTTGCCAAGTATTTTCTTTTCAAGGGTTTCCCCCCCCGCTCCCTTAGTTGGTGTGTTTATGAATGGGATTCATACCAATTTGCAGGACTGTCTACTGTATGCAAGCGCTCTGAGAATCAGGCTTCCTTTTTAGACATAGTGTAGCTTGTCACCATCTTATCATTTGTTAGACCTGGGTGATGAGCTTGAGGAGTAAAGTCTCCATACTCCAGAATATTTGAGAAGACAGTGGAGTTTAAGAGAGAAAGCGTTTGTGTGACTTCCCTCGCTGACCTGTTTCCCCCCCAGTAGAAAATGTTGGATGCAATGTTTGAAGAAATGGGTGCAGTCCAAAAGCAGCTGCTGCCTTATTTTACAAGCTCTGTAATGTAAAAGAGTTGGAACCACAGCAGTTTACGGAGTAGCTTTCAATATTTGCTTTAGCCCAAATGCTGTTTCTGATCAGGTTTCTTAGTATGAGCTCTGTTTGGATTGGAAAATATGTTTCTTTCTCCCCTCTTCAGCATGGATTCCCCTTTCTGTCTTTTGGGATGTGATTACTGTAGCTTGCGGTGACATCTGAATCGGAAAACTATGGGTTATTGCTTGCTTGCAAGCTATGGGTTGCAAACCTACTTCATAGTCTCAAATCATTGCTCAGAGGGTCTTGCTGTCCATTCTTTTCCTAATTATTCATACCAATGAAACAAGAAACCAGGACCACTTCCAGACAACTGCAGTTGGGATTCAGTTGCATGCCAGCAAATCCGGGCTACACCTTTAATGTCAATTTGGCACTCCTGAACAATAAACCTACTTCCCTCACTCCAAATGATTTTCTTTCGAAAGGATGTGATTGGAAAATGCACTGTAAATTGTAGCATAACAGATGTTTGACGTGATGTAATGTAACCTCCCCCCCCAAAAAAAAATACAGAATGAATGCTTGACAACAGTGCACACCATTATAACTTGCCCACAAACATTGTGCAAACAAATGAGGTTGAATGCCCAATAAATCACTTGTCTGGAAGTGACCTAGGAAATGGAAGCGCGACCAGTGCACAAGATAGAAGGAGGGCTACAGAAATCCATAGCATGTTCTTCATTCTTTGGGACTTAATCAGGTGATGAGGAACCTCAGCCGTGGGAAGCAAATGTACCTTACCTGTGGGAATCTTCTCAAGTCACATCAGCCCGCTTTATACTTATTTAGTGTTTTTGCCAGGATATAATGTGCCCTTAAGCTGTGATCGTGCTTCTTGCTTTCCTAGATGAAAGATACGGAGGGATATGTGAGCAAATTGTTGTTCCACTTTTGCTTCTGTCACCCACCACTGGCATGCGGCCCCCAGAAGGTTGTCTAGAAGGTCATGTGGCCCTTTGGCTGAAAAAGGTTCCCCAGTCCAGATTAATCATTCATGTTTCAACCAGATTAGGGATATATAGGCATCAATTTTAATAACTGAGACAGGTGGCCTACACCCATGGGGATCTGATTCACACATTGTATTTGCACATGTGTGCCCAAAGTGATGTAGGACTGCAGAAAGTAGGGTGAACCAATGGTTTGTTTCCATGTTTTGCCATACAGTAGGAAGCCATCTCTTTTTGCCCGTCTCTTTCTTTGTCCTCCAGTGAATTAGCATCTGGAGATGCTTCAGCTCTAACAGCACTCTGTAGTAAATTGAGTCAAGGGTGGGATAGGATTATTCCTGTTGGAAGGACAAAAGCATGAACACATTGCATCGGAAAGAACAGTGGCGGCCTATTGAAGTTGTGGTCCATGTATTGAGCTTGAACAGATGTGTACTTTTAAGTTTCTTGCATGCATTTTAGAAACTTTGGACTCTGTTGTGGATGTTGTTTTTCAGTTGCTCACTTTTACAAGTGAGATAAAAAATTGCTTTCCTTAAAAACGTGGCTGTTTTAGGACTTGTAAATATAACTCACATGGAGTCAGCACTGGGAAAATAGTGTTTCTAAATTGGAATGTAAGTCCCCATTTCTCTCTGTGTTGAATGGTGTGCAATGGTACAAGATCTTGGGTTCATGAGTCCCCTTACCACCTTCACTCTCCTTCCCAGGAATGTGGCTTCTTCCAAACACAGTATGGGAGGGTGGGAACAAATATTCTTATGTGAATCATCATAACTTGGCAGTCTTGGGGATATTACAGCAGGGAATATTACAGCCAATTTCAGGAAGCAATTTTGACATTTACTTTTTATTGTCATTTCTACAACCAGTAAGGCAACGAAACATCTTAGATTGTCATATTGACTCATGCCATAGTATTGCAATAAAGCAATTCCAAACAGCCTGCAAATTTAGAATTGTTTGTGTTTTGTTTTGGTTTTTTTAAAAAGAATTCGCAGACCCATCAGAATCCCTGCAAAAACAGCACCTGTGAATGTTGGGTTAATGTATTCATAGAATATTGAGACTTTGCCAGTAAGAGGCAATGGCTAGTAGTTGGTACCATCATATTATAATGGAATTCTCCGTCTTAGGGTACAGCTACGATTGTGTCTTAAATGAATTTAACTGCCAATTAGATAAATTCACAGAAGGCAGACCTATCCATGCCTGTTAGCTACGGTTGCTAAAATGGAACGTCCAGTTGATCTCTTTAGTATCAGTGGCTAAGATCCGAAGTTGGGCAGGATAGCTGCCTACACTTTCTGGAAGCTTCCAACCAATCACTGTTTGGAAACCAGATGCTAGAAGAGGTCTTATGTTCATATCAAAGGTCAAAGTAAGTACAGGCTTTCATCCGTGCTGTGAGCCGAACCCTGCTGCTGCTGCTGCTGCTGCTGCTGCTGTTGCTTCTAGGATTCAGTTTTGTTCAGTCACAGCCATTGTGCCCAGTTTTGATCTTGATCCTACTGTGAATCCCAGTTCAGGTCAACTTTATCATGTGTTCTGGGAAGAAAATGTTCAATTCTGAATCTTAGTGTGCCATTTATTATCCCTGGACTGCTTTGCAGGTTCAAGTAGCAAGCAATGATACGAGGAGACATGGTGATAAATCTGTAAGAAGCATTATTGCTAGCTTGTTAAAGAAAAAAAGATTGTGCAGTCCAAGCTGCCTTGATGGCAATCTTAGGGCACAATAATCCAGCAAGAAGCTAATTCTCATTGAGGTATACCCCTTTAGGTGATTCATTGTTGTCCCATTCTAAAATGGTAGTACTACTACTACAGTGGTACCTCGGTTTTCAAACGTAATCCATTCCGGAAGACTGTTCGAGTTCCGAAATGTTCGAAAACCAAGGACTCAATAGCTGACAGCTATCTTGCACTCAGCGGAAGCCGCGTAGCATGTTCAACTTCCGAGGTTTGTTTGAAAACCAAAACGTTCGACTTCTGAGATGTTTGAAAACCAAGGTACCACTGTACTACTATATAATTCATTCTGTAACTATAGGCCATAACTACATTATGCAAAAAGAAAATTCCCTGTTTACGTGGAGGGTGTGGTTGTTTGTATGGAACGGCATTCCATACAAACCACCATGAGAACTAAGCCAACATCTCCTTTGTAAGCATTTGCCTTTAAACTGCTTTTTGAGACTTGGTAAAATTGAATTCTTGTGCTTTATATTTGAAACCTGAGATAATGTACTCTTTCCTCAACTAAGGAGTTTCTTGTTTTTATTAATAATCAGGCTTGTCATTTTTAACAATCTTGGGGTTGTTTTTTAAGGGTTTTTTTTTAAAATTAATGACTGCCTTTCCTGTTTATGGGATTAAACAAAAACAACCTTCTGTCCCCTTCTGTGATCATTCTGGGTACTGGATTAGAAAATCAAATCACAGGATGTTCTGGTTCTCTCTTAATATATATATTTTTCACAATTGCTGATTTCTTTGAAGGGTATTTTGTCTTTCTGCTAAGTTAGTCTTAATATTGGTAATCAACACACAGCAATGAAAATCGATTTCAAAAAAATCTGTAGTAACAGATGTGCTTCTGCATCTTTCTGTTCACTCTGTTTTGTGTTACAGTAGTATGAACTTCATAATAAAGATTTCTACCTGACACACACACACATACACAAGCTTTACTGGTGTCTTGTTTATTTGTATTATCTAACATGCTTCCATGTTAGAGAGACTGTGGCCTTCAGCTTTTCCCTTTCCCTTTGCTCCAGCATACAACAGGGGATCCCACTTCTACTGTGTTCTCTTATGTTTAATCATGTATTCTAAAAGCAAATAGAAATGAAGCCCAAATGGGCCACTGAAAAACAAGAGGGAAATATTGGCAAGTACTGAAAAACCCTGAGATCTGCTAAAATATTCACCAAAAGAGTCACAAAATCTTAGCTGATGGAGGGGTAGATGATGTTGGGAGGAGAATGGCTTGCAGTAGCTCTGCACAAGAGAGTTTTGGTTTTAGGAAGTGGTGATGAACAGCAGCATTTTGGTCCAAACTACATGTGATATTGCATACATATTTTTGCATTCAATATGCATTAAAAAATAAATAAATCACAAAGCACCCCCAGGGTAGTGGTGATAATTACTAGGGTTATAATAGTTGAGGAGGGTAGATTGGACCCTTTCATAGGCACAAAGCTTTCTTATACTGAGTCACACAAATGGTCCATCAAGTTCAGCATTGTCTACACTGGCCAGCAGTGGCTCTTCAAAGTTTCAGGCAGGGAACATTCCCACCTGGAGATGGAACCAGGGACCTTCTCCATGCAAGCCAACCCACACCTGCAGCCTACTTTCCTCTATCTAAAATGAAATGCCACAAATGACAAAGGAGGAAGGACACATACCCAGGCTCCTTTTCATCTGAACCCCAAACCATCTTGAAGCTCTTGTCTTAATTCTGTGGGCTGTATCGTGTTGTGTATCATGCAATCTTCCATAAAATAATGGTTCTTTCTGTTTGTTTGAAGTAGTTCTATGAACTACCAGATTGGGCATACTGTATTTGAATAGTTAAAACTATGACATTCGCTCACACAAGAAGCAGCAATGTCTATCAGTTTGGTTGGCTTCAAAAGAGAATTAGACACTTTATGGAGGTTAAGGCTATCATGGCTACTGAGTATGGTAGTTATGCTCTGCCTCCATAGTTCTGCCTCCATAGTTGGAGGCAGGTTGCTTCTGAATACTGTTTCTGGAAATCACAGGAGATTGCATTCAGATCCTGCTTGTGGGCTTCCCAAAGGTATTAGATTGACTGCTGAGAAGAGGATGCTGAACTATAAAGGCCACTAGCCTGATCCAGTGGGCTCCTATGTTCTTAATGGGCATGAGACACAAAAGACTGTTAACAGATCAGCTGATTTTGTATACACGTTGGCTGCCGTTTTAATTGAATATTCCATCCAGATGTGCAATATTTTCCAGTACCTATACTCAAATGTTTTTTCATAGCTAAAAACAATGTGTTTCCACTGAGCTTCTGAAGAAGGTAGTGCTGAACGTTGTTTCACAGAGAAGACGGCATGGCACTTGAAGCAAACCTTATCCAAAAAGCTGATTTGTCATTTGTGCAACTAAGGTATTTATAGCTTGGAATTTTTTTGACACGCAGGATTCACAAATTTCATCTAAGTCAAAAACTGGACAATATTTTAATATCTATCTGGAGCCACATCTCAGATGGAAATCCCTTCTCTTGCAACATTGTCTACCCTTCCTATCTTCAGGAACTTCCTAACTTCTTCATTTTCAGTTGCTTCATACAGCATCTCAAAATCCTAAAAACAAATGCAAACAGCCCATTATATAGATTCAAGAAACCAACAAATCTGGTATGCGTAATGGTTACAGCCATCTTACCCAAGATGGTGTTCTCCAGATGTTGCTGGACTACAACTCCCATTATTGCTAACCATTGTCTGGAACTTACGGGATCTGTAGTCCCAAAACAGCTGGAGAACATCAGGTTGGAAAAAGCTTGGACCTGAGAGGCTTGGATTCAAATCTCCAGTCAATTATAAGGCTTGCTGGAGCAGTCACTATCTCTCAACCCAACTTGCCCTCCAGGATTGTTGTAAGAATCGTTGACGGAAGGCAATGGTGCTCAGATATTTGAGGAAGTTTGGGCTAAAAATGCAATAAACAATAGTTCAAATGGATAAAATATAATTGTGGGTTAGCTACTGTGAGAACAGAGTGCAGGACTACATGGAGCTTTGGCCTGATCCAGCAGGTTGTCTCTTATGTATCTTAGCTGCTTCGTGTGTGTGTCTTTGTGTTTGTGTAGAGTCTGATCTCTTACCCCACAATACTCCTCTCCATTAAATATTTGAGGTGGAATCGCATCTGGCTTCCCAGCTTTGTCCCTCATCTCTTGCAGCAAACTTTCACTGATGGACACATCCACTAACTGGTACTTCATACGGTTTCCATCCAGAATGCGAATGACATCAGACTGCCTTTGCTTCACCTAGGCAGAAACAAACATTCCTGTTGAAGATGGTATCCCTGAATCATGGAGCCTCTCTTACATGAAGGACAATCACCCCCTACCCCATAATAGACCTCTAGGACCAGTTAGAATCTATTTTCACAGTTCAGAGACACATTTCAGCCACAAACAAATATAAGTACTTATTTCCTACAAGGTGTCTGTTTTTGAAAATTGAAGTTAGCATTTTTTAATTTGGGGGGCAGGGGAAAGCAGCGCACCCAAGTTGTTAGCCTTGCCCAAGGCGTGAAATAGCCTGGCACCAGCACCACTCAGAAGAGAGCAAGGTTTGTGCGTGTGCCTAGATAGATATGTACAGCCAAAAGTCCAAGTAAGAAATGGGCTCCTGTTTTTCCAAAAGGTGCATTTGAGCATGTGCAGAGTGCCTTCCCATCATCCCAATGAAAAAAACCATCCCAATGAAAAGGAAATGCAAGAAAGCAAAGTGGCTGTCCAACGAGGCCTTACAAATAGCGGGGGAGAGAAGGCAAGCGAAATGCGAGGGAGATAGTGAAAGATACAGGAAATTGAATGCAGATTTCCAAAAAATAGCAAGGAGAGACAAGAAGGTCTTCTTAAATGAGCAATGCAAAGAAATAGAGGGAAACAATAGAATGGGAAGAACCAGAGATCTGTTGAAGAAAATTGGAGATATGAAAGGAACATTTTGTACAAAGATTTCCATAATAAAAGACAAAAGTGGAAAGGACCTAACAGAAGCAGAAGACATCAAGAAGAGGTGGCAAGAATACACAGAGGAACTATACCAGAAAGAAATTGATGTCTCATATACCCCAGGTAGTGTGGTTGCTGACCTTGAGCCAGACATCCTGGAAAGTGAAGTCAAATGGGCCTTAGAAAGCATCGCTAATAACAAGGCCAGTGGAAGTGATGATATTCCAGCTGAATTATTTAAAATTTTAAAAGATGATGCTGTTAAGGTGCTACACTCAATATGCCAGCAAATTTGGAAAACTCAGCAGTGGCCAGAAGATTGGAGAAGATCAGTCTACATCCCAATCCCAAAGAAGGGAAGTGCCAAAGAATGCTCCAACTACCGCACAATTGCACTTATTTCACACGCTAGCAAGGTTATGCTTAAAATTCTACAAGGCAGGCTTAAGCAGTATGTGGACCGAGAACTCCCAGAAGTGCAAGCTGGATTTAGAAGAGGCAGAGGAACCAGAGACCAAATTGCAAACATGCGCTGGATTATGGAGAAAGCTAGAGAGTTCCAGAAAGACATCTACTTCTGCTTCATTGACTATGCAAAAGCCTTTGACTGTGTCGACCACAGCAAACTATGGCAAGTTCTTAAAGAAATGGGAGTGCCTGATCACCTCATCTGTCTCCTGAGAAATCTCTATGTGGGACAAGAAGCTACAGTTAGAACTGGATATGGAACAACTGATTGGTTCAAAATTGGGAAAGGAGTACGACCAGGCTGTATATTGTCCCCCTGCTTATTTAACTTATATGCAGAATTCATCATGCGAAAGGCTGGGCTGGATGAATCCCAAGCCGGAATTAAGATCGCCGGAAGAAATATCAACAACCTCAGATATGCAGATGACACAACCTTGATGGCAGAAAGTGAGGAGGAATTAAAGAACCTTTTAATGAGGGTGAAAGAGGAGAGCACAAAATATGGTCTGAAGCTCAACATCAAAAAAACGAAGATCATGGCCACTGGTCCCATCACCTCCTGGCAAATAGAAGGGGAAGAAATGGAGGCAGTGAGAGATTTTATTTTCTTGGGCTCCATGATCACTGCAGATGGTGACAGCAGTCACGAAATTAAAAGACGCCTGCTCCTTGGGAGAAAGGCGATGGCAAATCTAGACATCTTAAAAAGTAGAGACATCACCTTACCAACAAAGGTCCGTATAGTTAAAGCCATGGTTTTCCCAGTAGTGATGTATGGAAGTGAGAGCTGGACCATAAAGAAGGCTGATCGCCGAAGAATTGATGCTTTTGAATTATGGTGCTGGAGGAGACTGTTGAGAGTCCCATGGACTGCAAGAAGATCAAACGCATCCATTCTTAAGGAAATCAGACCTGAGTGCTCACTGGAAGGACAGATCGTGAAGTTGAGGCTCCAATACTTTGGCCACCTCATGAGAAGAGAAGACTCCCTGGAAAAGACCCTGATGTTGGGAAAGATGGAGGGCACTAGGAGAAGGGGACGACAGAGGATGAGATGGTTGGATAGTGTTCTCGAAGCTACAAACATGAGCCTGACCAAACTGCGGGAGGCGGTGGAAGACAGGAGTGCCTGGCGTGCTCTGGTCCATGGGGTCACGAAGAGTCGGACACGACTAAACGACTAAACAACAACAACAACAACAAGAGTGCCTTCTGAGTAGACGTGCCATGGGGTTCCTCTAAGTCAGCCCACACCTGTGCCACGAGCCCCTCCTATTCCGCGCCAGATGATGGACACACCTACCCAACCCTCCGTTTGGTGGCTCTATCGCTGCATCCCGGGGGGGGGGGCGTCTCTACCTCTCGTCTAAACCCTCTCCTCTCACCTCCCTGGATCCTGTGACACTGGTGTAATAGACCCGAATAGTGCCCATGCTCACACCGGCTGAGGGCCCCGATCCTCGTTCATCCACCTCCTCCGCCCACTTTAATTTTATCTGCTCCGTCCTGGATAAAACTCTCCCTACCGCCCGCCCGCCCGAGCCACAATCTTCGCAGTTGCTATGGAAACGCAGCATCTCCTGCGCTGCCTGGATTTTATCCCCCTGCCCCATTCTCCGCCTGTAGGCTCACCGTACTTTCGGATTGGTCTGCTGGAGCTGCCACTCAAAAAAAAGGCAAGCCCTCACAACGCAGGCCTATACGCTCTCACGTCCTTCCGCCTCCTGGCGGTTGCTCTCTGGCGCCCCCAAGCGCGGCTTGCGAGGAACGGCAGGAGTTTTTTGTTGTTTGGAGGAAAAAGTTGCGGGAGGGCGCGGGACAACGGTGATTATACCTTGAACCGCTGCAGTAACCATTCCGTGCTCTGGTGGTGGCTTCACTGCAGAAGGGGTGGGCAATCTGGTGCCCTTCACGGGTGTTGGATTTTCATCAGCGCCAGCCTGGTATGGCCAGCAGTTGGGGATAATCAGTGAACGGTAGTCCCAAAACTGCCAGAGGGCACCAAGTTGGAAGGGACCCAGGGTCATCTAGTCCAGCCCCCTTTTGCAATGCAGGAACCTTAACTGAAGCACCCATTGCAGATGGCTATCCAACTTCTGCTTTAAAGTCTCCAGCGAAATGGGAACTTGTAATGAATGGGGGAACAGCCACAGATCTGTGGTAGACCATCCGCTTTGCATGCAGAAGGTCCATAGCTGTCAACCTTCCCTTTTTTTGTGGGGAATTCCCGTATTCCAGCGCCGTTTCCCACTGCTATCCTGGATTGTTAGATATCCCGTAGACTGTCCCTGGAACAGATGAGGCTGCTGATCCTTTGTTTTCAAATCTGAAAGTTGGCAGCTATCAGAACATCCCTCCAGGCAAGGCTGGGAAAAGACTCCTTTCTGACACGTGGGAGAAAGCTGCTGGCAGTCCGTGTAGACAGTTCTTAGCTTGATGAGCCAATTGTCTGGCTACCACTGATATAAATAAGGCAGCTAGCTCCCTGTGTCTCTGCTGCCCGAAGGAAGAAAAGACTTATCGCCTTTTCTACATGGAACATGTAAGCCCTGGACACTGGGGCACAAAACTGGTATCGCCTCAAACTCTTGCCTTGTGGTCCCTTTGCCATAAAGGCTGGCCATTGCTATTCTGCCTTGCCAGGAGTGGAAAAGGTGGAAAACTGAAACAAGTAGGCCCATTCCTACTAGAATTAGTCCATGAAACTGCCGTTGATTTTATTTAAGTTATTTATATAAATAAGGCACCTCATTCCACTTCTCTTTCCCTGCCTTGATTCAGCAAGACTGAGTTGAGAATTGGGGCTGGTGGCTAGATGACCAGATGCCTGCCTTTAAAGATGTGGGGAAGGGGGAAGATTTGTGATGAGCAGCTTCAAGGCTTGGTAGGAGCTGTTGGAGCTGACTTGGAGCTTACATTCACCTCCTAAAGTCAACGAGATCTAATGAAGTGTAGTGTTTTGATTGTTGACACAGGCCAGCTTCAAATCCTTATTCAGCTGTCACCTTGGATCAGTCACTAACCCACCAAACAAGGTTTTTGAGAAGATAACTGGTGGTAGAACCATGCATGCCAGCCTGGCATATTTGCAAGGGCTGCCACTTGTCTTATAATTAGCAAGTGGAACCTGCAGCAAAATGTGGGGTGCTCCTGTTCAGAATTCTTCCTAGCCTGCCTTGTCATCTTCTAGGATGCTCCATTTCACCCTCACTCAATTTCCTGTTCCCACCCTCTCAACAGTCAGCATTCCTTGTTCCCTGAGCATGTTCAGTCCTCATTAGGCTCTTTGGGGTTCCACCCCATTAAAGTTTTTTGTACTTCTTAGGGTTCTCCCAAACCTGCAGATATCTTCTGTGTGTGTGTGTGTGTGTGTGTGTGTGTGAGAGAGAGAGAGAGAGAGAGAGAGAGAGATACTGATACCCCTTTAGACTGTGAAGTATCCACATTGAAATGGTTTTCCTTTATGAGGATATAAAGTTAAATTAAATAATTTATTTGTTAAGTGTTATCTGTCTCAAGAAGGAATGCAGCAAGGCAGATGGTTATGAACATTCATTTACTACAAGGCATAGATTATGTGTCTTCTTCTTCTTCTTCTTCTTCTTCATCATCATCATCATCATCATCATCATCTTCCTAAAACTGCTGTGAGCCAAATAATGACAATGACCATTTATGCAATTAGAGATGAGAATGCAATAATCTATTGTGGGAATACAGGAAGTAGCCTAGTCAAGAATCTAGTAAGACAAAAAGGAAGGAGAAAAGTTTCTGTGTTGCAAGGAGCTTGGAAGGGGAAATGAGCCAACTGTTTGACAGATTCTAAATGTTACTGGGTTTGTACACTCCCATGGAAAAAAAAACTTTACTAGCCTTCACTGTATACATTGAGTATATCTAACCAATAGGCCTCCCAGTTCTGCAGGACACATTGGGCATACTCCAGTCAAAATTAAACATTTTTAAGTCTTAATGGTTTCAGGGAGCACATGTTGGAATGCTTTCAGGGAGATCTAAGCACATGTTGGAATATCCCATTGAAATCTAGAAATATTATATATTGTAATTATATTAATTTTGGCTTAATTTGCTTAAAATGCTTCAACTCTTCCTTTCTGGCTCTGAGCAATTTATTTCTTAATACAGGTGAACCCCTACACAGACCGTTCTTTCATAATTAGGCTTCACAATATAATATAAATTTAATGAATAATAAAAAATAATAATTAGGAAATGCTTCTGATTGTCTGTGATAATTAGTTACTTAATGTATTTTAGATCACCCTTCAACTGAAGTTCCCTGGCAAGCATGGTTTACATTAACATACAAAATAAAATATCAACAAAAACATAAAACTACAATAATACAAAATTAGGGAGGGCAACATACAGCAACAGTTGTATTATAAGGCACCAGTTCCTAAAACAGTTGTATTATGAACCCCTAAAGTCCAGGGAGAACGGATATGTTTTTAATTGATACCAAAAAAGGATTTATCCTCAGTGATACCTATCTCCACTGGTAGAAAATTCTACCTGTCTTGAATGAATGCATCTATCACATGACAGTCAGTATGTGTTCAGACATTTAATAAAATAACATTAGCATTCATTGATAGCTGTACATCTCCCTCCCTTTTGCAAATGATACTTTTCAGCTAATGGGGTTGTGTAAAGAAGCTTGCATCTGGAGAAAGAGAGAGAGAGAGAGAGAGAGAGAGAGAGAGAGAGAGAGAGAAGGCAAGTGAGCTGTGATTTATTTTACTTAAAGGGATTCCCTTTGGAATGCAGTTGCTGTCTTTGGAGAAAGGATGGCCAGTTGTCTGCTTTTAGGAGCCTGCTTGCTTCCAGTTGGTTTGGTTTGTATATCTGTAAATATACAGCTATTATACAATAAATGCCCAGTATTCATTCTCTCTCTCATCCAACTAATCTGAATTCTCCAATGTAACCCTGCCCCCAGATGTCTCACCTTTTATGGAAGTTGAGGGTACTTAGCATTGGTGCCAACAGTGGAAAGGAGAAGAAAGTAAGACAATATCTGTGGGATCAGGCCAGAGACCCACCATCATCCAGCATCCTGTTTTAAGAGTGGCTAATCAGATGTCTGTAGTAAATCTGAAAGCAGAACCCAAGGGCAACAACACGCCCCCATTTGATTCCCAGCCACTGGTATTGAAAGGCATACCACCTCCAGTGATGAAGGTAGAACATAGCCATTGTTGCTAGTAACTACAGATAGTCTTATCCACTATACTGTATAAGATCTCTTTCCTTGGGTGATTGAATTCAGGTGCAGCAAACAACAGCCCTCAAAAGAGAAATCATATTCCAGCAAAGCCCAAGAGCTTCAGCAGGAATTAGAATTATCACAGTGCTAGTTCAAGAGAAGCCCAAAGGAGGGTCATTGGAAAGTAAGATGAGATCCTTCTTGAGGAACCTTCTGCAAGGGATTAAAACTGACCCAGAATCCCAGCTACAATTGGGGTTGGATGGACACCTGGCTATCTTGGACTCTAAAGTCTTTCAGTTAGTATCTGGAATCAAAAGGCTTTGGCTAACCCAAAACAGAAAAAAACAGGCAGTAAAAAGATATCAGGAAAAGAAACTGCAAGTAGTAACAGTCAACGCTGAAAGTGGGTAACTTAGGGTGGGACCAGCTGCAATCTGGTGAGGGAAAACTTCTTACTATGCAAACTGATGCATTCAGAAGACAGTCTCCATGTGTTCAGGGGAGCTTACTACCAGACCCAGTGCAGGGTTACAGACTGTTTTATCCTGTGTTCACATTGTAAAGACCTTAATAGGAGGAAGCCAGCCATTGCAGTTTGTTTAGCCCGGAGATGCAGCTTTTTCAGAGGTATGCAAAATAGGGGTATAGAATGGGAGACACTCTTGTTGACTGTGCACTAGCTGCATTTCAGGACTAGCCCAGGTAGTACTGGAGAACATATTCCCCAGACAAGAGACAAACCAGCCAGTACTATATATTATGGAATAGTGGGTCACTTGGTGAGGCTCAGTTCAGAAGTCATGGGAGAATACTGTTGTAATAGAGCATTTAGTTGATCTGAAAAGGAAACAGCTCCCTGGGAGTGAACAACATCTGGAAAATGAGGGAAGCATTACCTTGCAAAAATGAGCCTCGGTTAGAAGGAAATGGGAGAGCCTCATAATCAGAATGGAAACTGCAACTCTATTACTACCTAACTGTGACTAAATCACATTGATAACCAAGTTTTAAAATAGCTTCAAGCCAGTCATCTTGATTTAGGAACACACGTGATCCAAGTTCCTCCTTTTCTACATCCTCAGGATGATACAGGGAACTGGCAGTATTCAAGCGCACTAACAATGCCCTTGCCCACATCCTAAATAAATAGTACAGTGGTACCTCGGGTTACATAAGCTTCAGGTTACATACGCTTCAGGTTACAGACTCCACTAACCCAGAAATAGTGCTTCAGGTTAAGAACTTTGCTTCAGGATGAGAACAGAAATCGTGCTCCGGTGGCGCGGTGGCAGCAGGAGGCCCCATTAGCTAAAGTGGTGCTTCAGGTTAAGAACACTTTCAGGTTAAGTACAAGCCTCTGG